TCTTCGATATCTTATCGAGGATTTACGATGAGTGAGTTAATTACGAGTTGACGTAGGTACAATTTGCTTAACGGGAAGCTAGCTAGCTTTGTCCTTCGTTATTCACTAGCCACACACACTAAGTCTTTGTCCTTCATTATTCACCAGTCACGCACGCTGAGTCTTCTACGATGAATTTGTATAATGTTTTCGTAAAAATGCTAATGTCCGATGAGAATCCACTGACTTTAAATGATTTGTAAATGCTCCTGGTCAAATATCTGAAGTTTTTCGATTAGTAAGCGTTATAACAACCACAGTTATAGCTTCCAAAGTTTATAGAACACTGACTATAGCAAACTAATAATAGATACTCTCTTTTTGGCACGTCGCATTGGTTATATTTATAGGCTGCGGAGGCATTCTAGAAATTTCAGTTTTACGTAACAATACAAATTTGTTGATTCTTACTCTCGAGAATCTTCTACAACTTTGGAGAATAGACGGGAGTTTCACAATACATATTTAACAGTATAAGCTATGAAATGAGCACCTGATCCTCCTAGGTCACAAAGACCTAAATTCCTATTAGGAGGAGAGAGAGAGAGCTATGAATGTTTCTAAATATAAATTTAATATAAACAAACGTTAATATTCAAATAAATATATATAATAACAAATTCGTTACAGTTTGAATTTCACGCAAAGCTACACGAAGGCTATCTGCGCTAGCCGTCCCTAATTTAGCAGTGAAAGACTAGAGGGAAGGCAACTAGTCATCAGCACCCACCACCAACTCTTGGGCTACTCTTTTACCAACGAATAGTGGGATTGACCATCACATTATAACGCCCCTATGGCTGAAAGAGCGAGCATGTTTGGTGGTATGGGGATTCTAACCTGCGACTCTCAGATTGCGAGTAAAGTGCCTTAACCACCTGGCCATGCCGGGCCACATCTAGGAAGTATGTCAGATACGTCTGAAAACTGAACATTCAGACTATATGTTAGGCAGTGTTGGGGCATTTTTGAAACTAACCATTCCAATAGCATTTCAGATGTCAAGAAACAGACATGTTTGAAACTTACTATAGTGATACCGCTGTACAAGATATGTTTGAAAAGAAGAAAAAGTAATTTCAGGGTAAGCTTTAGAAGAACTGCAAACGTGTCTCTTATATTAAGATACATATCAAAGTTTTGATAATACGTTTATAAGAGTTAAAATAGGCTAGACGGGTGTAAGGTAGGAAAATCTTGGTCGTCTTCGAAGTCAGGTTCATCTGTGTTAGGGCAGATGAGGCGAAGAAATGGTAACTTGTTTTGGAGGATATTCCACGAGTCGGTAGGAGTTTCTTGCTGATGGGTTTCGGGAGTCAAGAAAAGGATATCCCAGGAACAAAATTTTGCTTTTCCTTTACGTTTGATTATTATAATATAAGGTATTAACCACCACAGCCCCCCTGATGGCTCATCATTAAGTTTACTGGCTTATAACACTAAAAGTCTGGGTTCGATACTCGAGGTGAACACAATGCAGTAGCTCACTTTGTAGCTTTGCTCTTGAAAACTAACCACCATATTTCGTTTGTATTTATGTTTTTGAAATTAAAGAAGTGTTTCAAACTCTACAGGCTACTATATGAACCTGGTGAGCAGTAGTCAATTGCCTCAGCGAGGAGGAAATTCCGCTTGGTTGGTGAGTCCCCAGTTTCCGGCTGCTACCACGGCGCGGTGCATGGCCTTCTACTATTACATGTATGAGAAGACTATCGATCCTTCAGGTCCAAGTCTGGGCAGTTTACGAGTGTATGTCCTTCCTAGTTCTTCTTCGAGAGAATTTTCCATGCTCACTCCTGTCTGGAGGTTGAACAATCACCAGGGACAACGGTGGTTGATGGCACGTGCTCCGATTGTGCTACTTCCCGAAGGAAAACCCCCTACCGAACCTTACCAGGTGAGAACAGGAAGACTAATTGCGACATTAAACAAGTATAAGAGACTACAGGATGTTTTTATTATGTTAGAAATACATTGTTTTGAGTTGATATTAATAATTATTATTAATTTTAAATCTTTGAGAGTATAATATATAGACCTTGCAACACCCGTTGCCATAAAACTTGACTTACCTGTCTTATACGTAGTTTGAAAACAAACAATATATCCACAAACAACAACATACACGTAACTGATTAGACGATAATTGTGTATTAAAGTGCGAACTAAAAGATTAGTAGCTTCACAACACGGAAATTAGATCATTACACACGTTAAACAAATTACGTGCACATTATGATAAGTTAGTGAACAATTATGCAGAGCTAGTGAATGTTTTATTTTGATACATTATTTCTCAGTTAGCAAAAGAGCGCACAAGTAAACTCCTGCAACATGAGGTTTGAGGTTTCAATAGGTGGAATATTGTGAAAACAAGGGGAGAAGAGGTAAACACCAGGTGGTGTGACGTGAAACAAAAGAATTTTATTGATTCTTGGACAACTAAAACATGTGTAAAGAATTTTTTAAAAAATAACTATTGAATGAGATCAAATCAAGAAATGTAACTAAATATAACTGGAGGTTTAAATAATACCTGACTATTAGCATAGCCAGATTTACAAGGGAATCTTCAAAGAAAGAACAAAGTCATGGATTCAGGTTTCGAGCTGTTTCCCAGATTTTCTAATCATTTCAACTTCAAAACTGGAACTTATAAAAATCGCTAAACTGATCTGAGAAACAGTGCTACCTCTGATAGCTAAGTAAATTACAAGCAGTCCTCTATGATTGTTGGATCGGTAGCTTCACAAAGCCAGTTTGGTAGTCGTCATACCCAACAAACGGATAAAGACAATCTAAACTGGCATTAAGTAAAGAGATCATAAGCTTCCAGTTATTTTTGTGAACGATCAATAATAAGTCTAATGGTTCAAGCTAGAGCTATAGTTGAATTTTTCAAAATTGTTAAATAATTCTAATATAAAACTTCAGTAAAGTATAATGTTTGATGTTACAAATTAATACAACTTTCCTTCCTTTCTCAGAATTTGTTATTGAACAAAATGCATACATATATCACACTTTAAACAGTTAAATCTATAGCAATCCAAATTATTCACATTTGCAACAATAAGAAAAAGGAAACTCATGATGCAAAATTACAAAACCTTACAGAAGCAACATTAACAGAAATAATATTTATGAAGACAGACATTTTATAGATAGTAGTTTCATAGATATCTACAATGATGCGGTGTGGGCCTCACTTGAAGAGGGCAAGAATTTACCTGGTGGTGGTTGATTGACAACACTCAAGCATTGCCTTCTCAATGACATTTCAAGTTTTGCAGATGGAGCTAGCCTTTTGTAATTTTCTCTGCAGCTGGTTATTATCGCTTTCTTTCCTGAGGCATCTTCTGGCTGGTTCTGAATATATTTTACTAGTTTAAAGATGAAGACCCCACCACCATGTGCCTAAAGGTCACACATATTAGCAAATAGATTAAATCCTCTAGCTCCAGTCCAGTAATGGCTTCTGCAGGTACTTCCACATTTGTACAGATGAAATTTGTCACAACAGCCATGTTGACTAAAAAAGATGAGGTGAATAGTCAGTTTATTTGAAACTTACCCTTTTATAATACAAGAAGGAGAAGGTCAACTCTAGTCAATATGACCTGTAATTGATTAGGATTTTAAGTTGCGACATAGGGTAAAGCCATTTAAAACACGTGATTGCAACACTGGCACTTTAAAAAAAGTAACTTCATAAAATCTAAAAGAAAAAATTACTTCATTCACCAGTGGTCTCATTTACCATGGATAAATAGCGTGCCATTCTTTGTAGCTTAGCTAAAATGGAGAAACCAGACCAAGAAAAGGAGAAGCATTCAACTTGAACTGCTGCTGAACAGTTCCAACTATATTGTAATTTCTAAAGCGTTGCTATGGCAGATAATAGGTTACGGTGCTTAAAGTTAAGCAAACCACATAATCTGGTAGAGATCTATGTAATATGGACTATGACTGTCACAGTACTTCTTATGCTGATACCTGAAAGAGTGAGAAACTTCACAAGTTACTAACCACTGATCCCCCTTCTGGCACAGCAAAATCAAAAGTAAATAATAACACCATGCTAGCAAAATGACCATAATTCGTATTACTTATCCATCTTATGCCATACAGACAAACTTTATTATTACTATACTTAATTACTAATACAATGAATTTTTCAGCCTCAAAACCCATCTCTCAAAGATGAAATAATAATAATACAACTTATAATTAAAATCACGTTTTAATATTATTAATATTCTTCTCCACGAAGCTGTAATTTCATAAATAAAGCAATGTACAGCCAACCTGCAACTGCCCACCAGGATGATCACCAAATAAATGAATCTGAACTGGTTTATAGTGAGTTATTCATGAACTAGTGAAAAATGGATTTCATTATCTTTAGTTAGCTAATAAAATCTGCAACCATACTGACCATCTTACCATGCTACTATCTATGAAAACTTGGCCCAACACTACTGGCTGAACTTACAATTTCAAAAATAGAAAATCAGACTTTCTGTTCTTTCTTACACCTGAATAAGTCCAACCAAAAAGGGTGTAAGGAATCAAAAGTTATTCTTTTCATACTCAGTATGGAAACATATCTAGCTTCAGTTATAAGGATCTTGAAAAAAGATTATAAAAAGTTAGTCAGAGATTTTTTCATTGTATAAGTTCATCACATTGTTCAACAAAGCAAGGGATTGCATCTCCTTTTCAACTTCTAGGAGGCATAGATGCCCTAGCTGATGTCAAGTGAAGGTTAGTCTTAGCTCAATAGACTCGAATTTGACTCAGCAAATAGTTCCAGCCGTGACCTGCTTTAGGCAGTATTTGGGGCTCTTGGAAGAATGGTACAAGGTCTTCCTGGACCTCTATAAAAATATTCGGGAGTACTTTTTCTCTTTGCACCATGATAAATTTCGTAGCAAAATTAAAGCCCTCTATTTCTAATGGAATACCAATTATGTTGTAAAAACCTAGTTGTCCTTCAATGACATGTCTGTAATTTTGTGAAAAATGGTGAAGGCACGTTGGCTCTACAGATTATTATGTTGAATTGGGGGGAGGGAAATATCATTAAAGCTGGCAAACATTCCACATCAAGTAGAAGGTTTCCCTGGGTCATTCCTAATTGTTCCAAACTGGATTATGTTTCTTTCTTTGGTTTCATAGGCCCTTCTGTGCAGTGGCGTAGCAAGAGAGAGGCAACGGCCCCCCGGTGAAGGTGTAAAATTTCCTTGGCCAATAATTAATAATTATGCCCACCACTAGGATATAGCGCAACTGCCCTATGTTAAGTAAATATGACACAGTGTTACGTTATTTGTGTGTATTACGCTTGCAGTTTTAACTTTTAAAAGCCGCCCACTGAAATACAATGAGACCGAATTGACTTGCAGAAGTAAATTACACTATTCCATCATTCATCTGTAGATCAAATACAAGTCCTAGAGTACAACGTACAAGTAAGTGTATGTTCAACAAAAAGAAAATGCGAGATTGATGCAATATATTAACTGGTGTGCAAAATTGGCAATATACGCAACAGGCAAGGCTTAGATCTAGATCTAGTAAATATTATAAGCCTAATGTAGTGGCTTGTAATTGTACTGGCTGATTATAAATGTGCTAGACTTTAGGACTAATTGCAGTTATAACTTTATTTCTAGACCCTGGGTCCATCATCATACAAATTGTACCCTCTATTATAGGCATACTTAGACCTATACAAACTATTCAACTAGGCATTGCACTGGGGCAGATCTAAGGACTAAGTTAATAGATCTAGATGTAACATTTGTTCTAAAAGGTTGGCGTAATAACTCTCAATCTAGAATTGATGAGGCAGGGTTA